TATTGATTAATGATATTTTTAAATTGTATGCTATTAAAAATTATCGTTAATCAAAATTATAGTTAGTATTTTTCTTTATTGTGAACATTTGCAATCATTAGAATTTCTTGATAATATCATAAAAGTAGTGCTGGCAAAAAGGAATCTATATATTTTCAGGGTCTAAAGCGGGTCAACGGAGGGTTTTAACTAAACCCTACTTTGAAGCTTTAGCAGGAAAAAAGGAAATTTCGGACATATTGTAGCGCCAAAGTAGGTGCTATTATATACATACGATACAATGCATAACATCTACTTTGACTCTCTTATGCCTACCTCAAAATAAAAGATTAAGGTTCAATATAGGTGCTAAATTTCGACTCGGGTATTCTAAGAAGAAATAGTAAGTGGAATAATTTGAGCAATTAGATAATAAATAAATGCATAGATTAATCTTCTTGCTCTCAAGAGTGCAGTAGGTTATCTGTTAATGAGAGATACGCGCAAGCATTAGTGTAAAGCGGATAAATCCCACAGCAATTTTAAAAACAATAGAGCGATAAAAATATGTAAATATTTAATTTTATGATTACAACACATGCGGATAAACCCGATTAATAGAACGATAATTAAATCTAAATATTTGTTTTTATTCTCGCATTACTTGTAACTCTTCGGAAGAGTGAAATTCTTAAAACAAAATAAACATGTTTACCCCTTTATCTATTTAATCACATTGTACGATTTGTTTATACAGTATGAAGCCCCTCAATGTACTTCCCCTTGATTTCCCAAAGACAAAATTAAGTAAAGTGGAAATTGATGCACAAATTAGATTATCGCGTTATTATATACGAATATGATTCATCATTGACGATGAAACGGTTCTTTCACTAAGCACACAATTGCTCTTGGGAGATTCCAGTCCGGGAATCCACAGTTCGAAACCGGATTGGCCGCTAAGGAGATTGGCAGAATTCAACTCGGCCACTTGGGAGTTCCCGGCTATACGTGCCTCCAAGCGGCACGACTCGTGACGTCGCACCGGCACACCGGTGTACTTGAATGACGTCTGAAGAAAATTTCCTCGCAGCATCGACAAGTCGGTGGATTATCATGAAACAAAAACTTGCCGCGGTCAGAAATTTCGTCCGTGTTTCCGAAATTATTGAAGAATCTCAATATGAAAAGAGCGGCGGTGCCGGTTGAAGGACGTTAAATATCAGATTGATAAATGTCAGGAAACTCCGAACGCCAAAGTCATTTCTTCCGCATTTCATCGAATTCATTTGTTTATACCAAAGGATATCGTCCTCGAATCTTTATGGCGATCGTTCCTCGCTGTTTTGAATCGTTGATCAGATCGCATCCAAACATGTGCCTCTTCGAGCACCGATTTAAATAACAAAGTTGTTTCTCCAAATAACTTTCCTCTTGATGTATTTGTTTTTAATCGACACGTATTTTTGTACGAAAAACCGTATCTGTCGCATCTGATCTCAAACGGTTAGTTAAAGAGCATCGAATTTCCGACGGATCTATCTAGCAGCTTCCGTTACACAACGCACGCGAATTCAATATTTTTCTATTTCCGTAAGTGCGATCGCGTACACATCGTGCCATTATGCAGTAAGAAGCAGGTTCTTAACGATGCCGGTGATTGTGCCGCCGCTATTAAATATTCATTACGATAATTCTTACGCGCCTACCAAACGCACCATTGTCGACGAATGTGCGACAAAGAGACCAGACTGCTCGCAGTCGTGCTTTTAGAAAGTCGTAAACGTAGTCGTCGCGCATACGTGACATTTTCTCTTGGAAGATCTTTCTCCAAACGGTCAGTCGGTTATACGCACGACCGCTCGCTCGATGCGTGCGTACGTGCGTACGCGCGCAAACCACTTGACGCACAGAAGTGATAATCGAGCGGAATTGGTGCCGAGGATCAGGCGAGACGCGCAAGATCGCACGCATAAGCGTCATAGCGAGGAACAAGTTTCGATGACGTCGATGCAAAATCTTTTTAATGTGTTGCGCAATTTATTTTGCGCAAAACTAGAGAAAAACGTCACGTAGATTGCGTGTTTATTTTGGTCTAATACGCAATAAAAAACTATTCGATTAGCTTCTATAAATTTGGGAGATAAATTGTCAAAATTTGATCCTCGATTTTCATGAAAGCACTGACGCGGAGTAAATGATAAAAGCATTTAATTTGTGGAATTGCGTGATATACAGTAGCAATTAATGAAATGTACTCAGCAGGATTCTTCGAAATAACTTTTGTTTTTGATAAGTACTGTAAGGGTGGAAAGAATTAAATTAGGTTTATTTGAGTATATATAGATAATTAACACGAGCTAGGAATTAGTCCATTTCGCTTATTTTCAAAAAGACTCATGCAGTATTTATAAAAACGGTAAATCACCGAAAAATGACCGAAAGTGAAAAATCACAAATATCACAAAATATTAGTTATTATTAAAAAATATTAATAATTGTTATAATTATTTGCTTCCTATAATTGTTATTGTTATACGTGTGAAATACAAATTTATTATGCAAGTATTGTTTCTATTATATATTATCCTATTTTTATAAATATGTAAAAATATATTAAAACAATTCAACTAAAATGTTCTAATCAAAATTATGGATCGTTAATAATCCCTTTAATATAAATTTCACGATTTAGTACAGTACTTTGCTTCAGAGTTTAAAGAAAACAATAATTTCGGTGAGTACATTTCATTGACCGCTACTGCGTACAGTTATAATGTGCGTAGAAATCAAAGATCACGCCAAAGTTCACTAATTTGATCTAAATTATATAGTTCAAAGTCTCGAGAAAGTTTCCGGAAGTTACGGAAAGTCCGGGAATTTTCCCGAAATTTTCCGGGAACTTTCCCGGGGCTTCGAGCTATAATCTAAATTATAATGCACTGACAAGAATAGACAGGCACAGATGCATGATTATTTGCAAAACTGAATTGGATATCGATATTTCGCGCAACGCAAGAATATTTAAATATTGCTCTTACTTTAATCATTTATACCCGTCAATATTTCTTATACTAATTGTATATTCTTATTGATTTTCTTAAATGTGTCTTCTTCTAAATGATCGAAATGTCTATTCGCTTCGCATTTTGAGCCCAAGCTATAAATACAGTCTAGAAAACGATATTGATAATTTGATCGTTCATCCCAAAGTAAGATCTGCAGTTTCTTTATTATGTCGTGTGTAAATTTTATTATCTTATGTTAGATATTTATGATTTACTATAGAGAAAAATTTAATCTGCATAAAGTAATAAATTTTTTTGCAAATTTGCCAGAACTGTTATCGCGCAGCTTCTTTATTGCCTGATAACGGGACGTTCTGCGCGCCCAGCCGGCCCAATGAGAGAGGCGCGATGCAATCCCGCGGGAATCCGGTACGAATTACGAAAATGTCAGTAACGAGGCGTGGAATCACCTCGTGGTTGTCGTGGTCTTCGTCAATGACAGCTACGCCGGCGACGTCAGCAGCGACGGCGGCGGCGGCAGCGGAGGCGGCAGCGGCGGTGGCTGTGACGGTGACGGCGGTGGTGGTAACGACGGCTGCTGCCGATGGACCACCCGAAACGACGATAGGGTGGGGGCACCCCTGACCCCGGCATTAGCAGGCGGTGAAGGGAGGCAACGGCGGCGTTTATATGCGGCGGCAATGCGCCCTGTGGACGCATTCGCTCGTACGCTCCGTACAAAGCGGACTTAAGTAGTAGAGGCTCGTTATCGCCGCCGCCGTCCTCTTCGTTTATTGTAGTCGAACCGTAGCAGCCAGACGGATCGAGGCTGAAGAGGACGCAACCGGACGTTTCCATCGGAATATTAAAATCAGAAAGCGCGCGGATCAACGGGGTATTCATTCGTGTAATTTCTCTCGCAAACGGCAGTGAAGAGCTCACATCTTACTGCGTTGTCTACGAAGTGACCGCTATCAGGCCGAAAATCGACGTTTGAAAGATCGATCGTCGGAGACAAAAAATCGCTGAAATTAATCGCGAGCAGAGCAGTCTATCAGAAAAAAGGAGTAATAGACAAGATATGATGGCAGTCGCAGCCGCACAGAAGAACCGCGAAATGTTCGCAATCAAAAAGTCTTACAGCATCGAGGTAAGTTTTGTTTAATTAATGTTACCTAAATTCAGTGAAAATCATTTCTAAAATATTAGAAAATTTAAAACATTGTAAAAGCTGAAAGAATGCTGAAAGCATCAATTTATAAGTTTAAATTTAAAAATACAGATAAATATAGAAAAAATACAGAAATAGCTAGCGCTAGTTCAATAAAATTACGTAGAAAAACATTTTGATAAAAAATATTTTGACTTGTACATTTATATTTTTTAACTGAAAAATATTTGTTTGATTGATTTGACGCTTACAATATCTTTGTGAAAAAATTTTTATATCTGCTACTGTCAAAATAATCCATTTTTGTATTCGTATACATATTGACAATAGCAACAGGTTCAATCGAAAGGACCTTAGTACAACCAGGCGCGGAAGTTCAGTCGTTCGTTTAAATCACTGGTACATATATACAAATGTCCCCGACTGAAAATATTATCTCTCAGTTTTTTAATAAAAGAATTCTTATCGCGTTATAATAACAGTACATTATTTCTCATTCAATTACGTGCAATTTGATTATCGAGAAATGAGTGTCTGTTGATTGTTACCACACGCGTTAATTATACAATTTCTATACATATAGCGAGTGTTTGCTCTTGTAGTTAGATTCTCGAGATTTTTTTTTTTTTTACTAACGGTACATTTGTGAAATGGGTGAAAACAATTGCATCAGAAAATTACTCAATGTGTGTCGGTTTCGCTCTTTCTCAATTTTAATAACTGATGATCAACATAAGTGAAATTCTCGTAGGCCCGGCGAAACGGAAAGGGAAGTCTTGCGCAGAGAAAGTGCATACACTCCATTATCATTCTGTTTGCGTAATGTTAATGACCTTGTCAACGACAATGACAATATTAATGAGATGAATATTTATTCAATTGCCGTGATTACGTTCGACTTTAATAATAGAAAACTGCGATGTTTAATTTTAATAATAAAAAGTGATACAAAATTAACAATTTCAAGTTATATTTATAAAATCTAGAAGAACTTGTGTTAAATAATTTACATAAATTTACATATTTTATGTAAATTTTTATCTAAATATTTTAATATAAAATATACAATATTTCAATTGTATTACTAAAATAATCAATAAATAAAAATTAGAATTGTTGCAAATCTTTCAAAGAATCAAGATTTATTTTATTCCGATTAAAATATCGCGTGAAGAAAATGCTGTAATAAGAAACACGAAGACGTAATCACAGCTGCATTAATATCTCGATGAATTCCGTTCAATGACCAGTTCGTATGCATAAATTTGCATAAGTTCGAGTATCGCCAGCTAGACAGCTGACGCAAGACCTCTATGCACTTAGCGAGCGCGAAAAGTTCAATTTGTCGGAGAGGCATCAACGAGACCAACAAGATTATACAAGGAAGTAGCCGGCCTCGAATCAGCTGTTTTCGACTACAGGAAACCGCCGGGCCTGGGAGAAACCGGCGATTCTCTCGAGCCGGCGTAAATTTACTTTCCTGTCATCTGAAACTTGCCGAAAGAACAAATAGCAGTTTTCCTTTTTGCGTTGCATTCTTTCTTCAAACGTTGCGCAAATTGCAAAGTTATTTTCACATTCTTTTTCTCGCGAATGTTTACCCTTTTGCAGAATTATAAAATCACATTTGCACAGTTTTCACTGTGCGGTTTGTAATAAACAACTGCAAATAATTTGTAATTAATCGGTTGTCTTTACACAGCCATTCCTAAGTATGTAATATTAGTCGTAGCCGGCACAATGACATGTAAGAAAATATTTTTTTAATGTCATGCATATATCTTCTGTATATCGTCTGTACGATAAACGTACGTTTAGTCTGCCGATTACAAAACTCACAAGGTTAGTCTCGTCTTCCCTAATAACATTTCTCCTTAAGATTGCATATTAACGGATTTCAATCAATGGTTTTTACGAGGTTGCCGCGTTTTTCTCTCCTTTTTTCATCGCGTATCTAACGCATCGTCGAATCGTCTAACAATACGTATGACGATCGCAAGGTTAATTCTGTTTCTACACGTTTTTAGCGAATCCACGTGACAATTCGTATTTGATGTTTTTATGAGCTTATTCATTTTTTCTCTCATCCGGGTATCTGTAACGATGATACAGAATTTCTCGATCGCGTAAGAATCATAATCGGCGAGATCGATATCTCATTTCTCACGCGATAGTGCATTTATTTCTTTAATGACAGCGTTAAAGATATATCGTAATCGCCACTTCTATCTTTTGCACACTCGCCGCGACTTTCCGGAACGATCGAGATTTACAGACACGAAGTATCTCTTGCGCGAATGACTTATAAATTGCTGATGTTTGTCTGGAAATCGAATGCTAATCGTAGACTCACAGAGTTTTCTCAGAACATTGCATTTTTTATTCATGCATAATTCAATGCGATATTGTGCGCACAAAGTACCGTTACCGCGAGTGATCTAAGAATATTAATATTTTTAAGCTGCGTAACGTTAAGATTAACACTTTAGCGAATTTAGACTTGTGTGTCTATTTTTTTAAAATACACTCGGACTTCCTGTAAGTGTAAATGGCATAATTTGTCATTGCATGTAATACATTATTTTATTCCTCCCAAAACGATTAAATATATTTATTCATATAATTTGTTATATCTAATATTATTTATATTTTTTGTTAAAGCAATTTTTTTAAATAATCTAAATTGTTTTAGTTTTACACTCTATTAAAGCATCGGTCGATAAAATCTGGCGATTTCAATTCCCACGAGCTATGTCTTTCTGTTCTGTCTCGAACAGTAAACTGCAGAATCAAACGCACGAATTTAAGTTTTGATTTATAATTAATTGCATTTTTTCACTTAAGTTAAATACATTAAGTATGATTTTTATTTACTGACGATTACAATGAATATGACTCACTCAAACGGAACTCGAGCGTGCGCCGGCTCACGCCGGATCTAGATACTGGATTGGATCCAGAATCGGTTATACGCGATTGATAATTATCGTGTAGCACACAGGGTGAAAAGTGAATCGACCTTGAATAAAATTCCAACGATCGTGTCACCAATGCAGATATTATTTCGCGTTTTTGTCATGTCAGTCAATTTAAATAGTTTATATACATTTTTTAATAAAAATTAATTTATGTTAAATAATTAACGTATGTTAAATAATTTAACACAAATTAATTTAATTTTAAAAAATGATAATAAAGTTTGTGTATCATTTTATCATAAAAAATTAATTTTTTATATTCTAATATCGGGGACCATGCACACGATTATGAGCTTTTTTCGAAAGCCAACTTTGTTTTAAAAACATCCCTTTATGCGATCGCTTGCTTAAACTCTGTTTACTGAGTAACATTAAAACGACCAGTAAGTTTCTTCGTAAGTTTATTTCATATTTTGTGCGATATCTATATAGTAACATCCTCTCGATATTATGATTGTTGATTAACTGGATATTTAACAGGATTATGTCGTCGCCGTTGCAAAATCAATCTTCGGCCTCGGCTCTCGCGCATGATAAATATGAATATATTATAAATATGAGAACAGAGTGATTGTAGAGCAATCAAGAGAAAAAGAAAGAGAGACAGAGAGAGAGAGAGAGAGAGAGAGAGAGAGTCCTTGAACGTTGCAACCGTTATTTGCCTTCGGAGGCTCGTTGCACACACATTCGTTGAATTCGCGACTCTCCTTTGACATATGCGACTCGCGTGCTAATGTGCATGCGTGTGCATCTAACGCGAGTTCGATGATAATCGCTCTATTTAAACGCCCGCTGTGTCACCCGGATTGAGATAAGCGACTCTATTTCTCTCTCTCTTTTTCTCAAGATAAGAAAAATTATTTGAAATTTGTGTATGCCGCACATTATATACTTCAGCATTTGATCTTGCAATCGCAATTTTACAAATTTCTTGTTCGATTGGTAATCATGTTTTTGCACTGCTTAGAAAAATTTCCTATTTTTACTCACGTTACTTCGTTCCTTTGTTCCTCTACGTAAAAATTTCTAACTATCAAACATAAAAAAAGAAACGCTCAGAGATCATGAATATTTTCGAATCGTAAATAATAAAAAACTGCAAATTCAGCTTTTATTATTGCAGAATACATTAGCGGTAATCAATCAGTAGTCAGATCCGCTTGAATTGTTGAGCAGTAGCGGGCGTAACGAGCTAAGTTATGCGAGCGTAATTTTAATGCTGGATTAACGATCAACCTTGGATATGTTATCCACGGAGGCATTATGCCGTTATTAACATCGTAATTGCTTGACATTCGCTACGCGTTGGAAACGCTTATTCATAATAGCCAAGTGGGATAAGTGGGAACGATAAATTGAAACGATCAAAAAGCCGCCCGATGCAATGTCAATTCGGAACAAGCATCCCAATTTGATTAAACATCAATCGCGATAATCCAATTATTTATTACGCAATTAAATCGGAGTAGTGCGCAATTTTTCAATAATTTAATTAAAATTTTATATCACGCGTAAAAGAATTTTTTAGAAAATTACTAAAAAGTTTTTTAGAATTAATTAAATGCTGAAAAAAACAAGAACGTCACGAATGAGCGCACGAGCAAAATCGTCGCGATCGAAGGAGAGAGAAAGAGATCCTGTTCGTCTTCGAATGCGATTCCTCCTTTTTTGCAACGGATAATTACTCGACTTGCTGATTCGAGGTCGTTTCTTCTGCATCTTCGGTCGCGCGCTCGTGCGATACCACAAGGTCGGAAACAACATTCCTATGGTACCTGCCGTTTGCTTGATTGGACATTCGTATCATTTATTTGCCATCAGTTATCATCACATCGGATTTTCATTCTTTTATCTTCTTGAATGGCTCTCGCTTTCGTCTCGTACTTCAATCAACTGATCGACAAATATTTGCATATGTTCGTCACTTTTGCGCACGACATTTACGATTCACGCGAGTAGCAGACAACTTTGGATAGTTTTACGATGGAATTAATTAATTCGTTTTTATCGATTGATCGAAACGAGATTTGTCACACATTCGCCATTCCTTCGATGTATTATCATCTCGTGTCGCAATTTCTTGGCGTAGTCATCGCTCATCTATTCCGTCGGCGAAGTTCTTGGCCCACTTCGCGACGCGTGTTGTTAAGGGATTGCTAAATGCCTTTTTTCTAAACTGTGTCAATCAGCTACTTTGCTGGAAAATGCAACTGGGTCCCCGACACAGTGCGGTGGAGCGAGAGACAGGAATTTGAATAATCGGTGGCAGATATCTGTCCATCTTCGCTAAGATAGCTATTTTCATATTTGTCTTCAAAATATTTGTATTCAAATTCTTTGTTTGCCAATAAGATATCAATTTTAAATAAAAAAATTAATTTTTCATAACTAAAAATTTTTAGTTAAATCACGAATTAAATGGCCATTACTTGCAAAATGTACATTATTTATTAATAATGTAATATATTAATTAGGTGACAAGTAAAATTTATGCGTTACTTTCTTCTGAAAACTGCTGAGAGACAGTCAAGCTGCCTTGTGTCTTTACTCTCTGTCGGAATTCATTCATTTCCGATCCTTCAATGACAGCAGGACGGATGTCGCGGAAATTCATTTCCGTGTCTTTTGTTCGTTATCCGATTTAGGTTCGATCGAGCCGACGGGTTAGATTTCCGTTTCGTTTCATGCCAAAGGTGGTCATAGATAGAAGCCGGAACCCGGTTAGTTAAGACGGGAGGACGTCCGTCCTTTAAAGTTCTAAAGTCAAATCTGTAATTGCTTGCGCGGGAATAGTAAAATACGTGAATGCGACAAAACAAACAGCTAATTATCAATAAAATTTTAAATTTTAATTGTACGGAAACAATCTGAATATACTACCCTCATTACTTTCATCATTTAATTTTATAAATTTATTTATTTTTTCAGAATGGGTATCCTGCACGACGACGTTCTCTCGTAGACGATGCCCGTTTTGAGACATTGGTCGTCAAGCAGACGAAGCAAAGTGTACTCGAGGAAGCTCGACAACGTGCGAATGGTGAGTTTTGTGAATATCCTTTAGCATGATCAATTTTTTTATATAAAGTTTCCATTATCGTGTCAGTATATTCGTTTGATGTATATGTGTAAAAAAGAAATAGAAAATTATTTTTATATTCAATATTTGCACGATTTAAAAAATTATGATGGTTATGTCAACGCTCTTGTATTAGAAGTATATGCATGTTTAAAGATTTAAAGATTGATGTAATAATTCTCATGAGTAAAGCGAGATTTTATTAACGTGACTCGTACAAGAATAGCACGTATAGCGAAGCAATAAATGTGCACGTGATGTTAATGTCGCATGACATGTTTCTTTGTTATCGGACAGACACGAACGTCGATCAGACAATCACGTGTACTCAGGAGCAACAGGGACAGGAGTTTTATGTTGATGTTTCATCAAGTGACGATGAACAGGTGGAATCGTTAGTTTGCGCAGCGAAGAAGGAAGGTTTGTACTACATAGATGTTGTATAATTCGTAATTCATTAGATAACTAGAGCGTGAGATGCATTTCCCCAAGATATTATTTCATTGATTGTCAACATGATAATTTTATCTCAATGCTCGGCATATTTCGGTCGATTTTCCTAATCCACTTTAAAATGGCTGATTCAATCACAAGAAATACGAGCAACGTGGCAATGTTTCTATAAAAAAGATCTACGATATTTATCGTAATTTGCAATTAAACGACGTCCCTCGAAAGAGATGCATCTACCGTCAATCTAAGAGCGCGTTTCTTCCCATAAATGTTGCATATAGCATGAGCACGAATCCACTTGTAATTTACAGAAGCGAAAGCAGAGTCGTCGGACAGCGACGCGAAACCGGATGACGACGACGATGACGGTAAGTTCGTTTTCTGTATGCCCGAATCATAATTAGTTGCTACTCTCGTGTTACGAAATTTGTCGAAATACAAGTAGATGAAGAAAAAATAGGGGCGAAAAGAAGACAAGCGCGCATGGTGCACGTTGGAAGGCTAAAACGGACGGTAAATGGACGGTGAAACGACGGCTATTGTCGACGGCATACGGTCGACTGGGGCGAGTGTCGGCTCGACACTCAAGCTGAATTACGAGATCTTTGCTTCTCTTTCTAACTCGCCTCCGCGTTATGAAGTCGCTTTGTGCATTTAGAATCGTATTACCGGAGCCCAGCCTTTCTCGAGATCCCACAAGCGACCCCGCGTGGCTGCAGTAAAATATATAACACGGTTATTCCTTTTCGCGTCGCCTTCCATCTCGCCGGCACGTCCGTGCTCGTGACAATAACGGCTACTTTACTACTTTTCCGCTCCCGCGACCTAGACGGCGCTACCACTGACACGACCGCAAGGCGCTACGCGGAAATGGACTTTGAATTGCCCGATTATTATCCGTCCGTGGAAGTCACTTAAGGCACTCGCGAGAGGTTACGCCCGAAAAGAGTTCCAGAGAAAGTTTTACGATAGAACTCGCGCGACTGGGTGCTTTTTCCATTTTACGTATCATCCAAAGTGCCCATGGTTTCTCAAATGTCGCATATTACGTAAAACGATGTCGTTCGTAGTGAAAATCTTTTAGAAAAATTCTCCAAAACGATTAGTTGATAAATAATTCGAGTTAATCGAAAAAAATATCATCAATGTAGTCATCGAAACTAGACGACGTATAATTTTTCGCAGATGCCGGACTAACCGAGGAGGAAGTTGTGCTCGCGAAAACTATAGCCGAGACTTCAGAGGGCGAGTACAATGTGCAGAAAGCGGCGTTGGTATTGCGACTGCGAGAGGGCATTGGCTCTCTAGGCAGAATCCTGAAAACTATCGAGAATTTCAAGGGCGTGATCACGCATGTCGAGTCGCGACCCTCCAAGAAGGAGGGTCTGCAGTTCGAAGTGCTGGTCAAGGTTGATATGAACAGGCAAAGTTTGCTACAACTGATTAGAAATCTGCGACAAAGTTCGGCCTTGGACGGCGTGACTCTGCTTGCCGACAACTCCGTCAGCATCAAAGATCCCTGGTTTCCCCGTCACGCGTCCGACCTCGACAATTGCAACCATCTGATGACTAAGTACGAACCGGATCTCGACATGAACCACCCGGGTTTCGCCGACAAGGAGTATCGCGCTCGCCGTAAGGTCATTGCCGAAATCGCATTCGCCTACAAATACGGCGATCCGATACCGAGCATTCCTTATATCGAGACGGAGAACGATACTTGGTCGCGCGTTTTCAACACCGTGCTGGATCTGGTTCCAAAGCACGCGTGCGTGGAATATCAGAGAGTCTTCAAGAAGTTGCAGGAGGAGAGGATCTTCGAATCTCATTGTATACCGCAATTGCAAGAGGTCAGCGATTTTCTGAAGAGGAGCACTGGATTCACCCTGCGACCGGCCGCCGGTCTCTTAACGGCGCGGGACTTCCTGTCTAGCCTTGCGTTCAGAGTATTCCAGAGTACCCAATACGTTCGCCACGTTAACAGCCCGTATCATACTCCCGAACCGTAAGTGCTTTGAACTTTTTTCTTCCATAAGCATTCCACATTTATTTTTATTTAAAATTGAATAGCCCTTTTATTCAAAAATTTTCTAAAAATTATTTGTCCGATGTTATTTAATACTATTTAAATAATGAGAATTAAAGTCGAATACACACATAAAATACGTGCCATTTTAATTAACTCGTATCATAGAGTAAGCAAGTTAATATTAGAACATATTGATGAGACTTGACAAAGTACATATAAGGCACAAAGCTTCGACGCACCTTGAAAAATCGCGCATTGTAAAGGTCGCCCCGGGTCCGCGTCACGGCTGGCCCTCGTGTCAAACTACAAGGCAATCGATATTGCGTTATGACGAGAGTCTGCACCCGGTACACAGAGAACGATGATAATAGAATTACCGCGCCTCTCTAAGCTCGTAATGGAACTCTAATTGGCTTTTAACGACGCGATGGCGTTGATAACTCAGTTCCGCAGTTGCGAACTCGTTTCTCCGCGTAGCGAGCCGCGCCACAGTCCGATTTCCCGCTGATAGCTCCACAGATTGTAAGAATAGAGAGAGAGAGAGAGAGAGAGAGAGAGAGAGAGAGAGAGAGAGAGAGAGAGAGAGAGAGAGAGAGAGAGAGAGAGAGAGAGAGAGAGAGAGAGAGAGAGAGAGAGAGAGTGACTCCTTGAGATTTAATTTAATCAGCACTATTCATCTGACAATGCATTTTGAAGACCTTAGCACGTCCGACTTGTTGAATATAATTGTAAAATATTATAGCTGATTTCAATTAAATATTGCAACAAATTGTATTAAAAATTAAGTTAAAAACTCTTGCATTCAGAATTGACACAAGTATTAAATTAGCACCGTCGCGTCAAGTTCGTTTTGTTTCTATTTGCAGAGACTGCATCCATGAGCTTTTGGGTCACATGCCGCTTTTGGCCGATCCTAGTTTCGCTCAATTCTCTCAAGAAATCGGTTTGGCGTCCCTCGGCGCTTCAGATGAGGAAATTGAGAAGCTATCGACCATCTATTGGTTCACGATCGAGTTCGGTCTTTGTAAAGAAGGTTCCGAAGTCAAGGCTTACGGTGCTGGCTTGTTATCGGCTTACGGCGAACTCTTGCACGCATTGAGCGATAAGTGTGAGCATCGGCCTTTCGATCCGTCAACTACTGCTCTTCAGAAATATCAAGATCAAGACTATCAGCCGATATATTACGTGGCAGAGAGCTTCGAAGATGCTAAGGAGAAATTCCGTCGCTGGGTAAGATACTATTTTCATCATGCGTTCGAGTGAATGTTTAGAATTAATCCGTGAAATAAAATTCGATCTATTTTCTGGAATTTTTTAAGATTTTTCAATTGCTACAATGCGCTTATTCACACAAGTCCAAAAATAATAGTATTAACTGATAATCTCTTTTCGATATTCTTGATCGTCAAAAGTTTTTTTCAATCGTTATCTTTTGTAATAATCGTGCTTAATCACAAGCTTAATTACAAATTTTGATTTCTCTCGCAGGTGGCTACCATGAGCCGACCATTCGAGGTTAGGTACAATCCTCATACGCAGCGTGTCGAGGTCCTTGACAGCGTCGATAGGCTGGAGGGTCTGATATCTCAGCTTAATACCGAGATGACCCATCTCACGAATGCCGTCAACAAAATGAAGGCGAAACACTTCGCATAAAAATGAGAACTTCTGCGCATTCGTTATACCAATTCAGTTATTCCTCTCGCGAATCATCGAACCCCGAAGCATCGGTCCTGTGCTTTAGCCAACTAAATCTCTTGAACTCTTTGACGACAATAATCTTCGACAATTTGCCAAATATAATAGCTAACAGTAGGTAGCTATAAATCGCGTGATCGCCATAAAACTTAATGAGTTTTTTAATGTTTTAAAAATGTGTTAGCTAAAGATCGATGGTTTTAAAAAAAACTGCAGATTATCGCGAAAGATATTAGTTTTAAATGTGAAACATCTTTGTCTGCGAGGCTTTAGCTTCCAGGTTCGATGGAGTTCATCACTTGCTCATCGTCATCTTTCTCATCACGCGCATCAACTCGTCTCTCACTCCATGTATAAAGTCGTTCATTTACTTTATTATACGCGTGCACGCGCACCGTTTACGGATAAAGAGCCTATTTTTTCAACGTTATGTTTTTGCTTAGCAAGACGACTTAATTGAATAATATATCATTTACGGATGAGGCAATTCATGACAGCCCAATCTCTTGCCCTCGAGTATTTTTTAAGAGGTGTTAAATAAACGGAAATAAACGTATCAGGAAGGTCATCTTGGTATAAATAAGTAATAACTTTCTTGCTAATGGCTGCACGTACATGCGTATGATATTCACATTATAATTATATTATTATTAATTATTATTATTATCCTTTCCGTTCTATTCTATTACATAATATTGTATTGTTACGTTAGCACGTTACATTCATGATATTATTACGCATAAATTTAATCCAACAGACACTGGCATCTGCCCCGATATTTCGTAGTGCAATCTATGTTTAGCAAAAATTGTAACGCGAGATGGTTATCTTTAAGAATTAACGTAGTCTTAAAACTCATAGAACTCGCGGGATTGATTCCTCGTCGCGATAGAATTTTTTGTTCGGGCGCGAGCGTACAGTATTCTTTTCTTTCGCGAATCAGTTGATATACACAGCGACTGTATTCGTTGGGCAATCTTTCCAGACTAACTGATAAGAACGATCGTTCAGCGAGTGTTCTCGCCGAATTGTCACGCTTAATTTAGAATTTACGTGCATCAAATTAAACAGTATTTCGTAAAGAATATCTTTAAGTCGTGTTCTTACTTAGGTAGTCTGCAACTAGGCATCTATGTCATTTCTTCCAAAAGTTCTTCCGGAAGTCACAATGTTGCTTTAGAAAGACATTATTTAGCGAGTAGTGGCAGTCCTCCCTGCTTGTGCACGCTGTGCTATCTTCGTCGTACCGACTCGCATGAGAAATCCATCTCGTGCGTGTGCGGGCGCGTAACCCACCCTTGTTAGATCGTAGTGAATGCGAATGACATGTTTCCTTTGTATTATATTGTAAAGTACTCAGAGCATAATAAAAAATTAAGATATGAATCTTATACGTTATTATTTCTTTGCGCAATCCTTCCTTATGATGTAATTATCGAGTAACTTTGTTGCTTTATTACCTAATTATGATTACTAATTAAGTCGTAACTAAGGCATAATTAGATGAACATAATGAGAAGTGCGCAAAACGAGGTGAAATTGCCTCTTAGCTCGTGACGGACGTCACTTCAGAACGAATGTGTCATTCCCCCCCCCCCCAGTCTCTTTCTTTTCTCTTTTCTCGGAATTAACGATTGGAACATGGAAAATAATACTTAGACAAATGCATTTTGCATCTACCATGAAATCTGTAGTTTTTATCGTCGCGCTTGCTACGCAATGCGTGTCCGCTGAATCGCAGAACGGTAAGAGAAAGTGATATCCTCTTGTCGTTCAAATAACTTCCTTCTTTGCTCGTCAGGTTATTTGGACGAGAAATTTTACGTGCTTGCGTGGATCACATACTTGAAGCGCTTGTCGTTAATCACGTTAATGTTATGTGTCGTCGTTTTGTATTATGTGCCCAAGTCACGTTCACGTAAGTAATAAAAAAAATCAAGTGAAAGGAAAGACAGAGAGCTTTTATCATGGCTTGTGATTTTTGCTCACCTTCCGGGTATAATTAAAGACTTATGTAATATCATACCAGGAAAATATTTTCCAATCATAAATTTTGGTGATATCACGTAAAAATTATATTTATTAATTTATATTTTCACAAGAATAGCGAGATTTATTCCGAATAGTAGTAATAGTATTATTTGAAGCTAAAGAAAGAATGTACAAAAACGTGTTTCAAAATACTCAAAAGAACTCTTTTTTCTTATTTATTACTAAGAAAAATGAATAAAATAATTATGTTGAATTTTTAATCCATTTTAATATTCATCACACACAAAGAAATTTTTGTAAATGCTTTTCCAGATGCTCGGAGAATATGTTGCACTTTGATAGATCTAATTGCAAATGGATTAAAATTTGTTGTAAATATAACCGAAACTACGTATAATTATGAAAAAATTAAAGCCATAGACCAAAACGACCTAAATGGAGAGCCAAGAATACAAGAACTATACCGAAAAACATGTAAAGAAAATTCAAGAATTAGAATGAGACACTATGACAAAATAAATATTGATGACAGTTCCCAAAAATCGATAAGGTCATTATATTTTTTGTATAGATTTCACCATTTCTGTCTTACATATAAAAGAATGATAAATATTCGTCATACAAAAAAATGCGACTTTATTATGCAAACGTATACATTAACATTAACGATTAAAATTGTTTATCCATCAACTGTTGATGCCTTAAGAGCGCAATAAATATAGACGATTTTTATAGACGGCAGCAGAGAAGGAAATCTGACGCAAATCATAGCGTCGAAAAGAAACAAAAATGTCATCAACGACGTAATAATCATTACCGAAATGCAGAAATCAAAGACATATCATCGGAATCCAGTGCAGTCAAGTACGTATGCTTTATCAAATGCACCACCAAAAATTAAATATTTTTTTAATATGTATGAAATAAAGAGAAAAATATATTTATAGTAACAGTCCACAGCAAAAAACAATAATCAATGAGAAATGCGAAGAAGACAATATAATAATTCCGATGAGTACCTCTTCAAAAACAAAGATCATGATATGTAATACGATGATGGATAAGATAGAAAATAGTACTGATTTGCGACAAAAAGAACCTCCTAAAGATCATGAAAACTATACTTCAAAAGATATTGTAAAGAATATTAATATTTATTTGAATATTAATTATCAAGTTTCTAATTCGTTACTATATATTTATTAAGTTATGTCATAAAAAAATTATTTAGTTCAGATAAAAAAAATTCATATAATTCATTTTGTTTTTGACGTTATTATCTAACATGATTTTGTATTGTTTACAGATTAAAATATACATTTACTTCTGTATTTTTATGTTGTAGGGAACAGAATCTTCTTCATACAAGAAAATTCTAAATTCTAGCACAGTTTCAGAAATCAAAAATAAAATCGAGTACGAATCACCAATGTGCAAAAGCAGTAATCATCGAGATTGCAGTTACAATAGTAGTTATCTATTTACGGCGAAAGCTCGTTATAGTAATTTATATTTCATATGTTGCATAAAAGTAGAGAGATTATGACAATTTGCTATACATAGGAAGAGCGTCCACAGAGCGCGAGTTACATGATAGACCCAGAAAAGAAAATCGTCGGTTTCTTTATGATATGAAGAGTATTACGCACGATTGTTATGAAAATGCACCGATTATAGCGAGTACGTAATAACAAAAAGCAACAAGAATCAAATAAGAGGTCTATAATCTATTTTAGATTATTGCAAATAATTGATGCAAGATTGACTCGTTTTTAATTTAAATTTAATTAATGGCAAAAGATTTTAGTAATATTATTTTCGTTGACCAATAAGCAAAATGTTAGCAATGCTTAGCAGATTGACAAATTTAATCAAATTTGAATATATTTAATTAATCAAATTTGTTGTCAATTTGCCAACATTCTTAACATTTGGCTATCTGGGTAATTATTATAATTAATCAATAAGTTATACTTTTTTAATTTTTAAGATGTTTATCATAATTTTATGACTTATGTCTTTGCGTTTCGATACATTTTTGGTACATAACTTTCACAAAAAATAATGTGTTTAATGAGTATGTGCTTAACAAATGTGTTATTTAAAATGCAAAGACATACTGTAAAATTTTTATTGACTAATTATAATAATTGTTATAGCAAATGGATACATATTAATTTCAAGGAAACTGAATATAATTAATTGACTCATTATTCAGAACGGCAAAACCAGTTCTATTGCGAGTCGTAAACTGGGTTTTCGGTGGCTGTCCAGAGGCATCGAGACGAAACAGAGACTAAGTCGAAGAAGTCGGAAAGGAAGAAACTTTCGAATCTACCAACACGTGGCTCCTCTAAGCGAACGAACCGTATCTGCTGCTGCAAAGCGAAAGATTGTCGATAAGCGTAGAGATCTCGTGTCCCTTATTTCACTCCGTAGTGATACGAAGATAATTTTAACGTCGTATCAAACTGTTAAACTATCGACAACTGCAAAACAGTATCCTGCAGCCTACGCGCAATAACAATTAATTTTATTAGCACAATGTTATCTGTCATTAAATATCAATTGAATATCAATTCTTCTTTATACATTTTCTTTTTCTGCGTCTTTTCTGTATCGTCAATGATGTAGTAAAATATAAGTCTTTGTAAAACTATATCGCAACTTCCATCTCGTATTATGCACAAGCAAATTGATTATTAAACAGAAAATATTGTGTTAAAAAAACCAATGTCTCTTTTTAGCGATTCATGAATTTGAAATAATCTAAAAGTTCTGATATCTAGCGCTATATAAACCCTCTCAATAAGAACTCTAATATGTTCTTAAGGAACGCTACGCAAATACTCACGTATTAAAAGATGTTATTTGTGATTCAATCAATGCTTGGCAGAGTTTCCAGAAAACACTGATTTATATAATGATTTCTCGCTTCTCAAAGTCGCTCCAATTTTATCCGGACGCGAAGACGGCGCGTCGCGTCGCGGCGCTTCGTGACGCCGACAAGACATCTCGGCCGTTTCGAATCTCGGCCTTCGTCTGCGCACACATCTGTACCGGAAGCGGGTACCGCGTGTACGTGGCTTAAGAGCAATAAGGGAATCGGCGGGCCTCGCGACTCGCCAGAAGAGAATGGGGCGAGACAGTCGTGCCGAGACCAAGAACCACGGTGGTTCACGCTGCGAATTTCAAACGGGATGCTTGTCGTCCACGTGACACACGCGCGATTATCAACAAATTTGCCTTTTCTTGCCTCCGCATGATCCGATTGTGCGATCTGACAGCAGGTGTATTATGCACGATCCCCGAAGACAAGCCTGCGTCGCATTCGATCTTTTGATGTTCGAGCCGCGAAATTAATTGTCAATAGATAATAATATTACGAGCTGCTCTATTTTTTATCCTGTTATGCATTCCTACGCTGCTCGATGAACAGTTTGATTGAGATATGAACTGATAAAGCGTGTAAAAGAGGACGAAGTAAAACAATAGCGATTTAGTAGCGGAGTGTAATTTAAACGACTGGTAAGTTCTAGTAGAAGTATTTTATATATAATTAATTTATATATAATACGAATAATATGTATTTTTCTACATATTATGTTTTTATATATAAACAAATTAATAACTTATGTAGAAATTGCATTTCTGTCTTCTATCGATGAAATCACTCTACATTGATAATACGATGTATATCCTTAGTTTGTCGAAATCTTAGTGTGGAATTTTTTAAATCTTTCATGGAAAATACCCCTTTCAAATAGATAAAATAAAATCGGGGAACATTAAACTAGATAAAAAAATTTTTAAAAGTTTTCCAAATTATGAAACGGAAAGGAGAAAGTGTGTATCCCGCGGCACAAGAAAGACTATATTTACTTGTGTTAAATATTCTCCACTTTAAGTGTACTCATTTGCATATTTTTACGTTGTTATAGCGGCATCTATTTATATCTGCATTATACGATCGCAACTACTTTATTATGCGGTGAAATGCCCCGAGACCCGTTAACGTGCATTTCATTTAAGAAAGTGTGTCGTTAAGTACATCGGTGCAGACTTTAACACTTTAACGATTAATAAAAAAAGCATTCGCACCAGCTTCGTCCGCCATAAGATTCAAGAATTGATTCATAAATAATAAATTAATAACATGAGTCACTAGCCTTTGATCAATTTCAATTAAGAACGGTGTCAATCTAATGTGATCGACATGTACGGGATTACACGGAAATTTCGTAACACATCGCACTATCGTCTCCATCGTACTCGGTATCTGTTAACCCCGGTACATTGTTAGACAGTAGAAGAAATTCCCGAGATTTCAGCGAACATGTGTGTGCAAACCGTTCTATTAATGTACCCATCACATCTTGCCTTCTCTTCCTATACGCTCTTCCTTCGCTCCGTCTCTCTTTCTCTTTTTCTGCGCTTCTAGATGCTCTTACTTTGTTCCCTTCCTTCCTTTTCCGAAGTGTAGCGCGACTTATTCAAACACGCGCCCCCAAAGAGAAACAAGCGGCGAATGCCGCAAAGTGTTGTAAAAATCTTCGTTTTTCCTTTACTGTGCTGACAAGGAAACGAAACACCAGGTGAACGGATCGTAGTTTGATAATTTCAAACAACAAAGTGTAAATTTTGCTATAATAATTAACAATAAATGAAAAATAAGCAAATAATATTTAAATTTTCTAAGTAAAATAATAATAATATTGATATTGTTATTTATGTATATTATTTATCTACTATTATTCAAAATTATAAGCAATTAATTGATTAATAAAAATAATAATTATAGCATAATACTTATTATTTTCCAAAATGCATAAAAGTAAAAACTATCGAATTTTAAGAACGTTTTTCTGATACAATAAAGAGGACGATTTAATATGCATTTGGAAACTCTTTCAAGTACTTAGACGGTTCCATATAACGCCGTCCTGTCTAATCTTTTCTGCAGTGACAAATGCTCATAGTATGACGTCAAATGCAATTAGAGGCATCAGAAGGAAGAAGAGTTCGCTGTGCGAAGTCAAGGTGGCTGTGATAGGCGCACCGGGAGTCGGCAAGAGCGGTGAGTGAATGCATTTCAATAGAACCAAACTTTTATCATAATGAAATTTCAATTTTAATGACAAGATTTTAAGAACGCTTTCGTGCAGCTGCGCTCTGTCCTAGTTGGCATTAATACAAACATAATAGCGTAATGGCGAAAGTGCCGAGCGGTCACGATAACTGTAGGCTGTAATCTCAGGCGTTCGCGAATCTGGGATAACTCGGAAGATTTTTTAATTAAGAACAAACCTATTCGCACACACACATGCAGCTCATGACGCGTGCAAAGTCGCCTACGAAACGAGCATTCACAAGAAGTATAACGAGAAGATGAAAGTAAACATATTTCAAGAGAGAATCTAAAGCATTGACGTTCTAAATTTAAGTATACAAATACGCGTATAAGTAGCGCGCAAAATCCCGCGTGATAAAGATGCATATATGAGATACACGTTGAGGACCGTGGGAGTAGCTAACCGCGCGTATTTTCGGTAATGGCAAGTGTAAAGGCATAGATGAGTAAATAATTGGTCCGTCCCTGGCAGAGTTGCCGCAAATGCGTGATCGCTATTTATAAAGTTTTACTGCAAATTTTGCCTTGAATCATCATCCAACCTCGATTAGTCATACTTTCCATAATATTTCTTTACGATTGAAATGTCATACTAAAAAAATATTATTTCTTATGTATTCTATGCAACAGGAATATCTAAAAACATTGTAAGAGTACATAGAGTATAGAGTGCGTGTAAAAGACATTTCTCCTCTGCGACAGCTCTTTACGCAGTGTAAATAAAAATAATACAATTTTATAATTACACAAAAACAATGCAATGTACATTAAACTGCTAGTCCGGATAAAAAGTTTAAAAGACGTTTTAATTCTACTAGATATTTTTAGATAAGTTTTATAACACTTTTTCGATTCTTCATTGAAATATATTAGAATTATTATCACATCTATTTAATAAATTAAAAGATTCTAATTTTGTCGAAATTAATTTCAATTCTTGTAACCAAAAGTTTTATGAAATATCGGCGTTTCCAACAGAACTCGATGCAGAACGGTATACATCAAACTCTCTTTCATTGACATTGAGATTAAGTCGCCAAGAAACGTGGTAGCTTCTCAATGATCTTGGTTTAAATTTCAACGCAAATAAACCAATTGCTAATAAATTTGCGTACTGCGAAATATACACGTGTCCCTGTCGATTAAAAGAGAGAGAAAGAGAGAGAGAGAGAAAGAGAGAGAGAGAGAGAGAGAGAGAGAGAAAGAGAGAGAGAGAAAGAGAGAGAATAACCTATTTTACAGACAATATATGTATATTTCAAGTAGAGATATGCTATAATATCTTTACATTCGCGAAATCTTTATTTGTTTTGTTTCGATATTCGAATCCATTTATAAAACGATAATAAATTTATCGCGCTAAATTCAGATAATCTGAGAGTTATTTCTCTCCTTGTTTTTTTCTTTTCGCAAATTGTTTCATCCACTTTGATAGATTTATTAATTTTGCAAGAAAGAGAGAATTAATTTTATAATGTCAAAAAATTAGTTTCTGGCTGTTTGCCCATCGCTGAACATCGCTCAAATTGATATAAACCAATGATTCATATACGAAAAGAAAGCGTGTCCATCACGTTTCAAGATGAAATAAGTCACGGTGGCGTTAACGCACTGCTCGTGCAAGGTTTTGTGGCGCCGTGGCAGGTTCGAGTTTGTGGTAAAAATAGTGTGGTATATCTCAAAGCGGGTCACTAGGTTGTAGCTCTTGTTTCTGTCGATCGAATCGCAATATGTTCAGATGTAACATCATATCAAGCAAAATCGTGCATTAATGTGAGATCACCGTATGATCGATTTTTATCATTTTACGAGATTGAAACTAATAAAATGGACACTACTTCCACAGTGCACTAAAAATTAGAAGCCGATAGCAAGAGTCTCAAGTAGATGTTTGATCCAGCACAAATTTGTTTATAGAATTAAAAATTGTTATTTCTATTCAAATAATTAGAAAATTTTATAAACCTAATTATCAATCGTTAATTAAATTTGTATACAGAAAAATTGTACAACATAATTAAATTGCACTAAAATAGTATACAATGTGATTGTACATGTTACAGGCTCTTTTTAATTTCATCAGTTTTTTGTTGAAAAAAACCTAGATTATTTACTAAAAAAAACTGTAGAGACAACAAAGAGCTTGAAACATATACATACATATATAAACATTTGCGTGCAATTACAACCAAAAGATGGTACTTTCATAGTAACTTCCTTTTGCAAAAGTATATGCAGCTATGTATAACAAATCGGTGCGATGTAAAGTACCGTGATGTACACGAATCCGAGACGCAACATTACGCGAGTAGTCAGTGGACGGTCATTAAAGTTTGCCAACTCAATTATATCGCATTCAACATAATTACATCATGCTGAAATTAGTTATATAGATACATAGCATATATTTCTATTATGTTTCAGCATTGACAGTGAGATTCCTGACGAGAAGATACATCGGAGAGTATGATCATCAATCAGGTAAGAAAAATCTCAATATATCACAACGCCGATATATCGATTTATCACAATTCGCGTGACTTATAGAACCGGTATATGTGTATGGCAAAATGTACGACAGAATAACGCGTCAGTTTGAAAAACTGCCAGCAACTGTAATCTTCTTCTAAGGCCGTGTATATTCTCCCTGTGCATACTTCAGTCCGCGTCCGTTCTAAATTTATCGAAGACGAATTTGACACTAGACAGGACGGGCGCTAATGCGAGGTTGATACTCGAACGAAACTCCTCGTTTTGTACAAATACAAACGGGGTTGTAGACAGAGGAGAAGCACGTGCCGTATTAGCGTCTCAAACTAAATGCGATCCGAGAGGCTGCTTAACGATATACAAATTTGGTCTGTTAAGCACTTACGTGGTAGAAAGTTACACAGATAGTTGCAGATATCGCGCTTCTTTGATTTACTTATTCAAATTTGTGAGCAAGGATGTTACTTTTTTGTTACATTTTAGAATAAATTATAAGAAAATCACGATTATGTTAGGTTAAATAATTAATTTTTCGTTATTTTTATACAAATTACTGTGAAGCAGCAATATTTTCTCATCATGTTTTAAATACTTCTCAGAATATATTACAAATAAAGCGAAGCAAAAAATGTTATCAATCATTTGACAAATAAATTATTAAATAAGTAAATTAAGAAAAAAATTTGTGTCTGCTATTTTGCTAATATTTTTGCAAAATTTCATGCTTATACGTTTCTTTTTCATGTTCGAATAAAAGACGTCAAATTAGATCAAATAAATTGACGATTATCAATATCAATTAAGTTTTTAATAGTAAAAAATTTTATATGAGGTTAGCCTCTTTTTAATTTTTCTTATAATAAAAGTGCTAGTAAAAGATCAAATTAGCATGACGCGGATACTTAGGGATTAAATTTCTTAGAAAAAGCTATTTAAAATAAATTTATCTCACATTGTTATAAATTGTTATAAAATAGCTAATTTATCTTTTGATAAAATTTCGTTTTTCTATGAATATTATATTTGCATAAAATGCAAATCTTATTTTCTAGAAACCAGATACAAGCATGAGGTATTAGTTGACGGAGAACCGATCCTTTTTGAGATTTTAGACACTTGTCCAAAGGTATTTTTTGTATAGAAGAAAATCTTACATATTACAGAGTTTTTCATATGTAATGAATTAAATGATATTTTAGAGTGAGGATGAATTGCCATCAATGGAAACTTTACAATGGGCGGACGGCTTGCTACTAGTTTATTCGATAACAGATAGAGGCTCTTTTAATTTTGTGAGAAAAGCAAAAGAAGCCCTCGCAGTAGCCGATCCCGAAGCAGCAATGCCGCTCGCTCTTGTTGGAAATAAGGCTGATATGGTTCATTTACGACAAGTCAGTACCGAAGAAGGAGAAATACTAGCGAAGGATTTTGAATGCTGGTTTAGTGAAATAACTGCCGCTGAGCAGGTATTTGCAATTCGACTTAAATTCGTGTAGATACTATATCTACTACTACGTATCTTTCAAACAATCAAAATTTTTGTAGGTTGCTCAAGTTGCAGAATCTTTCCACGAATTATGCAGAGAAGTTCTCGCAGCCAGAAGAAGAAACAAACAATCCTTGCTGGATAGAATGCTTGGCAGTAAAGCGACGCGTGTTTATTCACGTGGAAAAAGTGACTCTGCCTTGCCGAAAGAATAACATCATTATTTGAAATGCATAATCGCAATTGTGTAGGTATGTGTGCTATCAAGATTATTTTCATATTTAAATAATAAATAAATAATTGCATTCAACAGCTAGGATGTTACAGTTTGTTTCATCCACTGCAAATTCCACTTCAACTACTCCACATCAACTCCATTAAAAAACCGATGAGTATCGAAAAAGGTGTATTTAATTACACATATTACAGGACGAGAAATTCTATCGCAAAAATGTTATACTGTGATACAATTCAAATACGAGATAAAACACATTTTGTGTAAATTATGAGTTATAAATTGAGCATTAGCTCAGAAAATTGCTGGTATACTTTTTATAAATCTGTATAAAAAAAAACTATAATAGAATTACAATAAAAAACAATATAATATATCGATATTTTTTAGCCATTTTGCAGAAGAGCTATTTTCGCGAAAAGTATCATATTCAAAAAAAATTTCGAATTTTGCGACGTCCGGTGAAAAAAGAGAACCGTTTGGTGAAATGCACAGCGTAAAAGTGAGTCAATTATGTCAACTGCTATGTAAGCAATTATAATAACTACAACTTTTTCATTGCATCAGCTATGTATTCAGAACTGCGTTTTGACAATTTACTATTTTGTAAAAATATTAAGCGATTAAATGTGTATGTATGTATAATAAGATTAAGTAAAAAATATATTTATGTATATTAAAATTATATAAATTATATTTTCAAAATTTTTGTTTCTAAATACAATTTCTTATAATTTATGTCTCTGTATAAAATTTTTCTATGTGTACGTTTATAAAAATCTATATTTTTAACTAATAATTTCTTTTGTAATTAGAATTTAAGAGTAATAAATTATATGACTTGTATGCAATTTAAAAATTTTGCCTGTTAAGATATGAAAAAAGTAATTTTATATTTTACTACTTATTTTTAAATGTATAAATTACAGATGAGAATGTGATTGTCAAAGCAGAGTTCTGAATAATTACATAGTAAATCCTGATGAATGAAGAGACAATGGATGATATCAGTATTTTGCGTAACACAAATGTACTGAATGAATTCACTCACCGATCGTTGTATTTTAGCTAAGTACGCTGTCAACTGTACCTGAAAAAATTAATATATACTTTATTATATAAATTATCATACATTTTATATATGTGAGCTATTATGTATTATTTATTCTTATTTTGATTAAAACAACTATATGTTGTCAATTGTGTGAATAATTATTAAAAAACTGTAATAAATGTTTCATAAATGTTTTGATAAATATTTTAATAAATATTTAATGAATACAAATTGTAATTGTATATGTATGCGTTTTCATAACATACATAATTAATTAATAAAATAATTATATTCACCAGTTAAAATATTGCAGTTAGCTCCATCCGTTGCAGATTTCCGGTCGTAGATTGCTCCGCATTAAGTCTACCGAGGAATCAATGAGTTTTTAATCGGACGCACCACCAGATGAAAGTTAATCTGCATAGGTTTCACTTTTGCAAAATTCACGTCATAAATTTGTCGCAGCATGATACAAAAAACGCGAGATAAAACGCGAGGTAAAACAGGATACTGCAATGTATTACATACACATATTTGTACACGCATTCATTCAGGGCGAATAAAACAAACAACTGTTTTGGCGGTCACACGGAGGTTGCTAGATATAGACGCGAACACAACACAACCATGTTTTACGTGATTCAATTTCGATGAGCTGAATTTTCAATACGTTATATCTATCGTTTGTTAATCCTCTCCAGTGAATATTGAGATTATTTTACGTATGTGCAACATCGAAATATACTCACTGGAATTATAACCTATTCGAATCCACGATCTGCCAAACGATTGATAAAACAAGTGCTAATCACAAACATTCACGGCAAGTAATATTTTCTGACAATCACCCGTCACTTTTATCGACACTTCCGATCAAAATTCGTACTCGTTATATATTTTTGATATGGATAAAATGCCAATAAAATGTGTGACTAACTACAAAGCATTCGCGCTCTTTGTTCCGAACAGATAGACATTGCGAGGTCGGTATGGTAACTTACGCAGCGACCGGTAGAGTACAGATGGCGTTCATGAAGCGGTTGTTAGTTTCAGAAGACGGAGTCTCTATCGCAACGCAGAGCGCGAATGTCTTGTGATTAATCTCATATTCAATAATTATGTACTTTGTTAGAATTTTATCCGTATTAAATATGTATAATAAATACCAGTTGGTGTCGGTAGTGTCAGATAATGGATGGGTTAGAGATTGAATATATTATTTACCGCGAAAGTTCTAGATTAAACACAAAAATCGTTTCTAAAAAATCATAGTCGGTGTGCTTTCTGTAGGTTGTAGCATGTCTTAAATTCAGCTCATCAAAATTACATCAGGTAAAACATAATTGTTATTGTACGTGCATAGAGCTTGATCTAACATTCGAACCTCTGTAGAAACTACATACAGTACCAAGAAAATGATGCGCATAGCATTGTAGTATTACCACTAATTGTAAAATATATGGATCATCTTGTCGTGTGAAGTTGACGTCTATTCGAAACAGAATAATGCTATTCGCGCCATTTTCTTCATGTACTTACACTGTTTCCGCAACGTCGATTCAGAACGCAAAGCGCAAACGCTTTTTGAGATTAGTTGCGTATTTTATACGTGTTAAAAGTGTGTAATAAGTGCGAATTTATACCGGGTGTGCCGATTAAAGTAACGGGAAAGTGTCGGAACGTATTACTTACCGCGATTATTCGCGATTAATGGAGTTTTGTTGTGTGGTATCCGGTCGAATCGCGAACTGAAACAGGTTACAGTGAGTACAGATTTTAATATCATAAAAACGCAAAATAATCTCTATTTTTATTTAAGAAAATTGAAGCGCGATATACTTTTCATTAAATATAGTATGTGAAACATTCATCTCTTCGGAATTAAATAAGATAAAACATCGTTGCCTTGTGTACGTGTGTGTAGTGAGTGTACGTGTGTACGTGACGATGTTTGTGTAACCGTCAACAAAGTAGTTATTCGTTTCGTTCATTCGGAATGTGTGCACAATGCTGAGTATTCTTCGATGGAGCTAATATCCAATTCTAAGACGAAATATAATATACAACGAGTGGAACAGACTACAATACTTTAGCTGGTAAGTACAATTGTTTACGTATATACATAATTGTGATAACACAATGGAATTAAAATTCTAATAACATATATATACAAGAATTACAATTTGTATTTATTAAATATTTTCTATATTTCAAAATATTTGTTAAAACACTTATTGAAAATACATTGAATTTTTAAAATTATTATTTACATCATTTATTATACATAGTTATGTTTTAATAAAAATTATTGAATAATGTGAAATAATTAACACACAAAATGTATGATAATAATTAAAATAACATTAATGATTAATTATTAATTTTTTCAGATACAGCTGACAGCGTATTTAGCTAGAGTACAACAATGAGTGAGTACAATTATGCGTTTATTATTTAAATATGTACATAATTGTGATAATACATATGCACATTATAAATATAAATCAAAATAAAGGATACATATATCAATATCTTCAAAAAAAATAACTGGACACTTCAAGAATATATTTGTTTATTATATAATGGTTGAAAGAGAAACAAAATTATAAAGAAATATTATAAATCGGTAATATTCATTTCGTAATTTTTAAAAATGAAATATTATTAAATTATTATTAAATGAAATAAGCATTGTAGTGTTTTGAATTCATAATATAATTTGTTCATAAGCAAGTTTTATTACTTTGATATTATTTACATTCTGTCATTTCATAATTTGTTTCTGTAAAAACGTGTTTTGTGTAGTAAAACATTCGTAACTTCTGATTTAATCATCGTATGTCTCTAAAAGATCTGCTAAATGTTCATTATCTCTTGGCTTCTTAAACTGTCTCTTTTTGTTAAGGGGTTTCTTTCTTTTGATTGGTGCTGGTTTCTTGAGTCCGTGATCTTGCATTGACCTAATTCCTTGTTTTTCAAGATATTCATCTATTTTTTGATCATCCATTGCATCTACTGCAACAGCTCTCCATAATTTTTGGAATTCCTCGTCTATAGGTAGTTGTGTTGTTTTGTCATTATAAAAAACAATTTTCTTCTTATCAAGTGGTCGCATAATATATAATATTTCATTTTGTAAATTCTGAAACACACAAATAATTAACATTTTTCTAGCAAACTATTACCAGAGAGAAATGTTTATATATTACATACTTTTAAATGTTTATCACAATGTGGCAAACTCTCTTGTATATCTTCCAATAATATACCACCTAAACCTTTTAGATCATGTTGTTTCAGAAGTCTTAATAAGGATTTTTTATCTTTAATTTTATACATAGGTTTAAAGACAAATCTGTTTTCAAGTGTAACTTCAATCTTAGGATTTTTTATTAAAGCTTCAGTTTGAAGCCATTGTTTGACCTAAAAGCATATAAAAACATAAATGACATACTTTAGTTGAAAATAAAAATAAAATTGAAATGTAAATTGATAAAAAGTATACTAAAGCTTACTTTTGATCCAACATCTAATTGGTTTGTTTCATCTAAAATCTCTTCTAATGTTAATGGATGATCATCTCCTTCCTGATGCCTTGCTTTCATATGCTTAACTATCTTTGCTAATACACCAAATTTATATTGCGTACTGCCAGTCATAGTCTTGTAATTAACGATATCCAATTTTGGTCCTGTAGATATGGACGATGGTTTAAGTTTCTTCTTTGACGGTTCATCTCTCGTAGTCTCTTTTTCCTGTTTCTTTTTTTCAACTCTGCAATTGTATATTATAAGATACATATTTATATTCTCGTATAATCAATACAAATATCATGATATAAATATGATTTTGATATTGGAATATTAGTATTATTACATTTTATAGTTGCAAGTGAAAAAAAATTGTCTGTATTGAATTGTCGCAAGCAAATACAAAATATTATTGAATTACACAATTTATTTCTAAAAATATATGACGCATGTTAGAAAAATAATAATATAACAACTGTAGTAACATGAATACTCACGCTGGTGTAGACAAAGCACGTTTTTTAAAGAGCTCTCGCTCTCTAAGTAGAGCTGGATCCATTTTGCAACAAATTTTAATAGTGTCCGCACTGTAATTGCTTATTTCATGATATTATTACTAATAACATCACTTCATATGTTATTTGAAATTACTAGGTTTCTAACCTAATTAATAAGATTCTAACCTCTTCTGAATACTTGAGTCACAATTTCCAAATTTTTGCCACAATCTGAAAAAATTGAAAGTTTTTCTAAGTAAATTTGTTACCTTTATAAAATATATATACAGATAAATCGATTAATTACATATTTAATGCATAGAATACACTATTCTTACTGATTTACAGTGCATACACTCATGATACGTACAGTCTGACAGCTCACCATAGCTCACTCTGAACAACTTTTCGTTATTATCAAGTGAGCGCAGGAATAGAAGAGCATTGACGTTATCGACCATTTTTTTTTATTATTCACAAATTTGTATAATTATTCTCTCTCTAAGTGCTATTAAAAAAAACATATACATATCTATAACAATAATACATTTTATAGTTTTGCATTTTTATGGACAGAAAATAGTCGATAATATCAACGCTTTTAAATTATCCTCAAACTATTTGTAGCACAAGATTTATTTTTTAATCTATAATTTGGCAAAATAGTTTCTGGTGTATTTTATGATTCTATATATGTGGAAAAAATTATAATTGCAATTGAAGCAAAAAGAGATCCTTTATTTTGCTTTATATAAAATGGCAGTTGATCATATGCTTATTGTACAAATTACATGATATCTATTATGATATCTATTACGTATACATCAATTAGTTCATAGAACGATAACGAAAAATGTCGAACGTGAGCGAGCGCCGTCCTGCGTTTCGCTTGAGTTTTTAAAGTTTTTGAAATTCTGTGTGCAAATAGAATATTGAATCAAGCAATAGACGATCGTCATAAAGTGTTAATTAGCGATGATCAGTCTTTTGATATTCGTAAAATCAATCGCATCCGTAGTATCATGTTGGATATTGTTCGCTGAATCCTCGCACGCGAGTATCGTCATGAAATTATCTTCATCGAAAATGACAAAAGTGTCGAATAAAATTACGGGCAATCGTTGTTCTTCGCATTATATATTCGAACGAGAGTGTATCGCGTTTATAATTGCACGTCGAGAGTATCAGTATTTCCAAAAATATTCGCGTTCGATATTTTTTTATTTGCAATGCTGTTTCATCGAATATTATCAATGAGCTGTGTCGAATTTTTTAGTGAACAGAATTGCTTTACGCGAGATTGTTTTGAAATCGTCATATTTTGCGTCGAAAATGTATCGCCTTAGAACTCGTGAGTTGACTGGTCATATCATAAGCGATAATTAATGTCACATTAATGTATGTTTGGGGCAATGATGGAGCCAATGAATCGCAGTGGCGAGACATCGATTGATGAGTAAAATTTACTCACCAATCGATGTCTCGCCACTGCAATTCATTGGCTCCGTATTATACGACGTGATTATATAATTGTTTGTTTGTTTGTGATATATACATTGATAAGATCGATACATTTAAGGTCAACAAGAGCATTTAATCAATATTTCTAATTAAGTCAACTAATTTATTGAATTTTGAAAACTGTATTCTGCATTCTGCGCGAATAATTCGAAGTTAATTTTCATTGCGACGACGTTTGTTTTTACGAGCGTCAAGTCGTCGTGAGCTCGTAAAGTGCACGTGAATTTCGCGCGACACGTCGACGGTGTTCGCGCGAAAGATTACAAGTCGGTTTCTCTACAATTCGTCATCGGTCGACGATCGAGCGTCGAGGGGCATATCGACAGCGTTTTACGATCGCTTACTCACACGCGGAATACGCGCCTAGGGTCCGTAGTTCTCGGACGTGTTTTCCAAGATTCTAGCATGACGCGAACGTTTTGCGAACGATATAACACACACGGCTTGCTTCTATTCCGCACTTGGCGTTATGACTTTCGCGTCAAAGAGCACGAGAACCTTCGTATTTAGGCATGGATCCGCGAACTTATTGTCGTCAGGTGTAAGCGATAAATCACCCCCGTCTTCAGCATATCAAATCGTTGTATCGTAACATAAACGTTGCATTGTAGAAATATATAGACCTCTCTAATCTTATAATGCTATACAGTTTTTATTCTTCTTAATGACGCAACGCTTGCGATAATATACAATGCTATACAATAACGGCTAAATTACTACACACAAGCGCGTGTTTGCACAAGCAAATTATGGAAATCCTTCCTGGAAAAATTCAAAGTGCGAAAAAAGTTCAAATTTTTAAAATATTTTTTATTATTAGCTCACAAATGTGTTGTCATAAGATAACATAATAACGTAATGGCATCAAGATAAACATTAATACTTTTTGTCAAAACTTTTGACGAACTCTGACAACGACTTGCACCTTTTGACACGTTAGCATGGTCTCACCGCACTTTGAACTTTTTCAGGAAGGATTTCCATAATTCGCTAGCGCGGACGTATAAAGTTGACCGTCCGACCGCTTAAAACCTCGACGAAGAAAGTTATCCGAGCAACGAGCGAAGACGCGTCGCGCATATATTAGACGAAACTGTTTGCGACGCGGCGCGCTTTCCGGTAACTTATACCTTATTCTTATGAATTTCCTGGCAAAGAGAACGTTACGGGCGTATGTAATATCGGATACTCTTTCTATCAGTACTAAGACGATATTGTGTCGTTCTTATTACATTGTTTCGTATACAAGCAATGAAAATTTTAAGCTAACGTATTTTATGGTCTATTTAATGCGCATTAAATGCACGTAATATAAAACAGTTTTTTACGGAATAAAAAACTTTTTACATATTCGATAAAAATATATTTGATGAACGTATTTATCTTAATATTGCAAAAATTGATTTTTTCAAAATAAATAATAAAATTGCGACACCTTTAAAACCTTTAAAATAAGATAATATTAAAATTAATACTCCTAAATTTAATACTGCAAAGCCGGACAATTTATTAACATAGAGAAATATTTAAAACTGTTCCATTCGTCAAAATCCGATTTTGTTGAGAAACAATTTCAGATTGAGAGAATTTGCGTCACTCGTGGAAAATTTAACATGAAATTCATATAAATTCATATAAACCATTATTCACATTTCATTTCCACATAAATGAAAAATACGATCAATTATTCCTTTATATATCCTTTTTATATAAATTTGGCATGTTTTAATGATAATACTGATTAATGTAGTCGTTTTCAACTCTTTTATGTTATGATCGAGATAATGGCACTGCGATGTAGCGATTGCAATGTCATATTAGCTATTTATCTTGCCGTATTTTTGTATCGAATATTATACATGTGGCTTATTTAAGAAACATGTTCGATAAAATTATTCAACGTAATATTTATGAAAATCTATTTTTTCATACAAAGATCAATTTGTTTATATCAGATATTTTAATTTTTTACAAATAAATTTTTGAAAATAAGATATATTAATTATAACAAGTAATTAAAAAATAATTATATTACAATAGATTTTTTTATTTACATTGTGTATCTTACATCATGATATGCTGTTTTGGTGAGCGTACGCAGAGTCGCGCGATGCTGCGCGACCAAGTCGAGTGGCGTCGAGTTGGGCCGCTAACGAAGCCGCGAGCGGAAATATACTTGCGTGTCGGTTTAATTCCGGCCTATCGACAGCTACCCCGACGTGGTGCAACGCGCATCGGCAGAGTATCGGTAGCGGTATCGGTAGCGCGCGATGCCAGTCAGCAGGTGCGCGGAATATTTCCGAGACGAACACGCGCGCCGCGACTATCGTAACATGCGCGTTAAACGTACGCTTCCACCCCGAACTACCGTGGTGAAGCACGAGGGCGCGACAGAGGGAGAGTGGATAGAGCGCGGATGGGGGGGAAGTTAGGGATGGCGGGACGCCAGAGAGAGGATGGAGGATGCTCGCGTTGGTGGTGGCGGAAGTCGTGACGGAGGAAGCGGGTTCGGGGGGGGGGTGGATTGAGAGCGAGAGCGCTGCAACGCGTCGGAGAAGGGCGAGCAGCACGGCCGACTGGGGTGGCTGCTGGTTAAGGGGGTCCACGAACGGTAGATAGAGAGGAGAGAGAGAAAGAGAGAAAGAGAGGCGCGCGAGAATAGAGGGGTGGGAGCGGAGATGAGGTGGAGAGGACGAGAGGGATGCTGGGGCGGTTCAGGCGAGACCGAGTTCACGCCAAGTGGAGTACGGCAGTTTGTGTCAGACCACGGAGCTCGGAAGATGCTCCCGGTTGTTCACGAAACGGGTGGACCACCCTCGTCGCGACGGCGGCATCGCGTCACCGCGGTTTCTCTCGGTGTCGCCGCGTCGGTTATTCCCCAAGAGAACACGAGAAACACTGGTACCGGGAAAATCAACAGACCAACATCTACTGCCACAATGATGACCATGGCCTTAACCGTCCTCTTGGTCCTGGTGCCCGCGGCGTTCCCGGACAAGATTCCCATTGGTGAGTGCTGTTTGTGTGTTGTACATCGTTAACGTATCACCTGTACGCGACACTGGAATTCCCGAGTGGTACCGTGCTCGTATAGCTATAGACAATATTTCGCGAGAGACGCGCCGAGAGTCGAGTGCTCGCCGGGCTCAACCTCGTCAAGCACGTCTGCCGTCGGCAGAAGGGTTACTGAACTCGGGTGTACATAGCCATCGTACGCAAACATACCGTTCGCTTATGTATTCTAAATACTGCCGCAGCACGCTCCAGCAATAATATCGGCACTCCTCCACCGAGGCCAAGCTATGTCGATTGTCAGATAAAAAAAAATAAAAATAAAAATACAGCAAAATAAATAGCTTCGAAATGTATAATACTGCAATCCACACAACGCTATTATTTCTATCGGAATGCTTTTAATTCCGGTGCTCAAATTCGCGCTTTATTTTTCGAATGCATTTTAAGGTTTGAGATAATATTTTTCTATGCGCAATGGCTGATGCGATGTATGCGGAACATTAGTAAAACTCAGAATAGAATTTTGTCGATATCGGATGATATAGTAGTCAAAAGAACGTTTCCTATTTCACGCGTTGTTTACGTCTCTTGCGTATCGATATCGTTACGGTCTGAAAACGTGCTCCGTGAAACAAAGTGTAGTTGAAATTATTTTGTTCAGTACTCGACACTTTGTTGTTGTTGTTGCTTCTCCGTGAAAACAAAGATAATTGAAATCCCCTGGATTGATTTTAGATTATCTGGTTATTTCAGTTTTTTAATTTTATATTTAATATATTTTCTGTTTCTCACGTATATTTTGTCATATTTATAATCTGATATATGAAACACCGTGAATAACATAGATTTAAATGGATCTTATGCAGAAATTGAAAATAATTATTATTTTCAATGTTTTTTTTTGCATATCTATATATTTTGATTTACATATTTTTACGTACAAAACATTAGGCTTTATTTTTTCATAAAATATCTTAAATAAAAATTTGACAGAATATTTTGTTAATTCAAATTATTACGTAAAAGTAAAATAAAAATTACGATATCAAAACATGCATATGCGATATGCAATATTTATAAATGTGTGTCGAAAAAACATTTACATTTATTATAATGTAAAAATATAAAATAAAACTGACAGAAATTTTTTTCCATCTTAAAAAGAGAACTTAGTCGGTGACCATTGTTCTAAAAAATCTCGGGTTATATGGGATAAGCAGATAAAGAGTTGCTTATACATAAATGATTTAAGTTGGTTGAGGTTGGTTGTGGTTTTATCGATCCCCTTTTACGGTTTGGAAATGGGAAGATATGGGCAAATAAAAAAGCAAAGAGCGCGTAAAGAAGAGACACAGGGCGAACGATTGCGAAAGTTTCTCATTGGAGGAGACCGAACTTTAACATGTCACAGCGAGATCTTGAACTCTCACGCATGGAAGATTTTACTTCGGGTAGTGATCGAGTTTTACGGAAAAAAACGTAAAGCATTTTTACAAGCGGCCAAAGCGGTACTCAAAAAATATACAGATGGCATAAATACTACTGGGCGCGCAGTTCCATTCTGATAAATATTGGAAGCTTACAAAATATTTTTTTTATCATCAATAACTTCGTTGAATGTTTAACTTTTTACGTACTTTTACGATACGTTTATTTATATTTCACCATATGGCCCGCGTAAATATTGTCGAGGTTTGCATCATTACCAATATTATAGATACAAACAATATTTTTCGCGACTGCCTGTTTTCGACGGATATGATATTACGATGTTTGATGTGTATTCAACGTGGTCGCTACGTAGCAGCGGAATATATCGACACATCGAGATTGCAGCACGCGTATGTATAATATAGTAATAGCGGTTAATCAATTGATTGTACGGCTGCACGTCTGTATTTGAAACGCTTCAGCGTTATGTATAAATACTCGATATTTTTAATTCGATATGCCGCTAGATCTCTATGTAATAGCTTACATTCCATTCCATTATCTTCTGTAGTCGAAAATTAATTCCGTCCATATTAACCAATCAGTTTGGATTGTGCAGTCGTCATATGTTATTCAACATTGAAATTACAACTGAATGAGAATTTACACGCGACTTATGTGTTAAGCCTCTCCTACATCATAATGTCATAATAATTAACTATGATGCAGCGAATCAGTTAACGTGGCTAAATTAATGAATCGCAAAGACAAACAGCATAACGCCGTAAAGCCGATGATGGATAGAAATGCTATTAAAAATTGATTTTGCGTTTTTTATTTTTGCTACGTTGTACATTTTTAAACAAAGCAACCGTATATAAAGCCATATAGAAACAATATCATAACAATTCGAGCAGTGCAATTTAATCGTTTCTATGAGTGCGCAGCTGATGGCACGTGTTCGAAAATCGAAGCGAATTGTAATTAAATTGAGCCATCAAAAAGCGTTTAGCGCGTTTGCTATGAATTGTGCAAAACATTACTGCCCCGATGGATTACCGTGCGCGAACGTTTTCCGTCGTTCTCATGAAATATTCCGTCTCTCACCGGACTCGCTCTTGTGTTCTCCACCTTTCTTCTCCGTTAGCTCTTTCGATCAGAAATCCTTCGACAAAGTCCATCGCGTGTAGAACGGCGAACGATGCTCGTTTAAAAGCTCGACGGATTATTGCCGTTGCCGATTTTAACGGACGCGAACAGCAGTCCTGATGGCGGGAAATAGAGAAAACTAGTGGAACTGAAAGATAGACAGGTACATATAGGGCCGTGAGCCAAAGAAAGGGAAAGAGAGAAACACGACGAGGAGAGAAAGGGAACAGTGAAGCGCGTTGAGCGAGCAGTGAATAATGAATGTCTATAGAAATGACGGCGTCTCGCTTCCGCAGTTATGCGAACGAGGAGAAACCGGCGCGTCGAGTAAGTTGACGAAAAGACGAAGAAGGTTGTGTGGCACGGAAGTCGACACCGTGACGTCGACACGGGGTTGAATATGGCGCGCGAAGGGGTTGCCGCGTTCAAATCATGCCGCACACGCGAGTCGCGCTTCTCTCCTTCATCGTGCGAAGAGCGCGCTTCGTCGTACTTCAAAGACATTGCGCAACGTGTACTTTCGGTGGAATTACGCGAAAGGGACAGTGAAAACAGCGGAGAAAGGTAGACGGTTGACCCCGATTTACGACGCATCGGGTATCAACGCTCCAGTTAACATTAACACGGCACATACGCGCCATTGACTTGGTTTTTTCATTAAAGTCATAAACTTAATGTGCACGCAAGCGTACATTCGTAAAAGCGAGTTTTAGGTTTTGTTTTTCGCGTTTAGCCGCGCGACCATAAAGTAGTGCACCAAGCGATTGTACTTCCACGAACGATATTTCTCGCCATTTAAACGATTGAAAGCGAAACTAATACTGTTTCCATCATTTTTATGAAAACATAGGATTTTAAAGTGATAAAAGTGATAAAAAGATTATAGATAAGTAGCAGTAAATTTCAGAGATAGCTGAGATATCACATATGAGGTCGAATAAAATCCTTCAATTAAGGGAGAAATGCATCTGCGTAAAATTTGAAATGCATATTTTCGAAGCAGAAAGAATTTTTTTTCATAGTAACGGTAATTTATTTATACGCAGTTTAATTGATGTTTTCGCGTTTAGCTGAATATTTTAAAAGTACATTTCTCGCGTGGAATATATTTTATAGTGTTCAAAGGAGAGTAAGTTTTTCACATTAGGCAAACGTTGTGGTTGTACTTATACTAACAAGCTGTAAAAAATTAATTAGAGACTTCTTTGATCACGACTGGCAACAAGTTGGAAAAATTTTTTTTTTACCAGTTACGATCATTAATGTTTTTGCAATGTCACCAGAATATTCAGAACTCTGTTGGTTTTAAAGGCTTTAAGAGCAGAAGAAAAATATACAGACAAGATCTCTCTCCTACAAAAGTTAGAAATTTATTTGATCACAACTGTCAATAAGTCGACAAAATCGTTTTCTGTTAATTATACGACAAAAAATTAATTTAATTACACAAAAAAAAGTTAAAATCACAAATTTTTTTTCCATTTGTTTTTACAAATATTACATTTTTTGTAACACGTATTAAAATTATATCCTTTTCTTTAACAGAAAGAGAGAAAAACGATATACTCTGTCATTTTTCGAGATATTTAAACCGATATTAAATAAAAATTGATACTTTTCCGACGAATTCCGCATCTTCTATATCTTTTATAATTCTATATCTTGTCGAGTAGAGTAGTGGAAAATATTTGCAATGAGAAATATACGTACGCGACTAGCATACTTTTGCGGATGCGTTAATGATTATTAAAAGATTTAATCGAGTGACAGTGAGTACTCGGCGGAACTCTAAGCGTTCCTGGTATGTGATTGATATATACCTAGAATGCGCGTCCACTGGCCGTATCATGGTACACGGTTGAAGATACCAGCATGCGATGCCTTTGTGAAGGAAGGCGAGGGCATCTACCACTCAAGCAGACCCGTCGGTCGCCTAATGCGATTAATAGCACGATGCTGCCAGACAAGGGAGACAGGACCGTACGCCCGTAGCCTTTCCATCGTGCCTTGCCTTGCACACTGTCGAAGAATTTGCCTCCCGTTGCCAGAGGCCGGCAGATAGGAAGGCGAAATCGAATTTTCGTGCGTCCGAGGTATTGCGCGAGTTAAAACGAGAGTCGGAGAGAGAGGAAATTCTTGCCGCTGCACCCGTCGAAGCATCCGCTACCGCCGTCTGAGTATGGCGAGCGATTTAATGGTCAAACGGTTGAAATGAGTTTTCAAAACTATGCGGGCAATTTTCTTACATCCCGATACACGTCAAAAAATGTTATTTAATTGCGTAATCGCAGCTTATTACGCGTGTTCCGCTGAAAAATCAATGCAACATAAAAGACTGCTTAATAGCGCAATTTTTGCAATAATTTTGTTAATAATCAAGATATTAAAAGTGTGAATTTCTTTTCAAATGCGAA